CCCCCTCTTTTAAAAAAAAAAAAAAAAAAAAAAAAAAAAAAAAAAAAAAAAACGGAAAGAAAGAAAAGCAGCCTAAAACACAGCCAAAGAAGGCAAAAGTTGTGTCAAAGAGTTCAGGGTGAGAATAGCAACCAGTATAAACATCAACACAAGGGAAAACAGAAAGCTTATTTTAAAGATCTGTGCTTACTGGTTTTGACCGGCTCTTACTACACTTTGAGCAGACTTTGGGACTTTAGCAGCCAACACCGTGAGACCAGAAATGACTCTGCTTTCATGGCACTGGGGAACAAACCTGTCACACTGCAACAGGCACTTGTGCTCTTTTATTTTGTATTTGATGACTGTCTTGCTGCAAGGGAAGTGGCTGCCTGTCCACTATCACAAAGGTGCAACAGCCTTGCTCGTGCCCCAAAAGTGGGTCACCCAGCACTGTTAATTACAGCAGTGTCCTAGTGATAATATTAGAAGTTGCTTCTGGTGGCTGAGCAGTGTGTAGAGCAAACACCCCAACCCTTCGGGCTAGGGAGCCCCATTTTCAGTCCTGCCACCCTTTTTCTCCTTCTTCAGCATCCCTCCACCCAGCAATCTCAGCTGAGGCCTCCACGCCTCCCTCTTCCCCCAAGACTACAGCCATTTTCCCCAAAATCCCCCACCACCCCTCGCCAGACCACTATTGCCTTCTTGTCCTTGCCCCATTTCAGATTTGGGGCTCTGCATCACGGCTCCCTCACCCACACCACTGCTCCACACAATCATTCCCCACAGTGAAGGGCTTGACATTACTAGTTGGTTTTGTTTTTTTTTTATAACCGTGCTGAGTAGAGCAGAGCTGAGGCCCCAAACCATCGCTGAAACACACAAAGCAATAATTAAAAATAAATCTTCTTTCACTTACAGAAAATCAGCCAAATCTGATTGTTTTCATTTTGTTCCCAAGCAATCTTGCAGACCCAGCTTCATCCCCAGAGCAAAAATATTTACAGTCTAGCAATGAGCTCTTTGCAATGAGCATTTATCAGGCAAACTCTGCGAGACCCTTACCTGCCCAAACATTCATCAGCGTGGTCATGATGTAATTAAAGTGACTCATGACAAACTGAATTAAGAAACCTCCCCAGACAGTTTTATGAAGAAAACGGCAGGGTTAATTTATTGCAATTATTGCTACAGGTCTCCAGTTTTCAGGACCAGAAAATTATGTTGTGCAATGGGAATCTCTCATTATTAAAAGGGGAAGACACAGGTTTTATTTGCTGCCTATGGAGCCAGACATACATAGACAAGGGGGAAAAAGGTGGATCAGAAGAGGGTTTTTGAGACAGAGCTAGTGGAGGGTAAAGATCTGTCTGGGAGTTCAAAGAGGAGCTCTGAGCTGTCAATGCTGTTAAACACTTTGCACGCTGCTGCATCAAGTCTAAGGTCTGATTCCTTGCCTTAAACTCAAATAACCTGCTTAAATATGAAGATGTAAATCGACATTTACTCTGGTGATAAAGTAGCTACGAGATGACTTCTCAACTAAGCAAGACAAGAAATAACCCAACCCCACGATTACAACCTGAAAACAGACAAATACAATTTAGAATAAGAGACGGGCTTTGTTTTGTTTCTTGTCATCATTGCAAAAGCCGCCAGGCATAGAAGCTGGCTCTACTTGAGATATTTGACCCAAAATAAGGGGTTTGTTCATTCTCAACTGAAAGATAAGCCACAGCTTGACCACGTGGTAGGTGCTTGGTGCAAAAATTGCTAAGAGTTTCCCTCATCTGTATCATGCAGGCAGGCAACTTAAATGATCAGGGAAATTTTTCAGCCTTAATGTCTGCAACTCTGTGGAGTTAACGTTTTAGAGAGGAGCCAGGTCCAGAGACTTCAGAGGCTGTGCCTCTAAAACAACGTTAGTCCCCGAGTAGCTGGGCAGATATGGTTATCCATCCCAGGCTTAAAATTACTCCAGAGCACAACCAATCCCCGTCCCACTAAAAGTTAGAAGCATCTGACATGAAAAGCTAAAAGCGCATCCCCTCTGCCTGGCTGCTGCCTGCTTCTGCATCCATCTGCGCTTGTGGTGTTGGGATGGGCTGCTCAACAACCCCAAGGAGATCTTCCCCTCAGGACACCTGACATGGACAGGACATTTCCAGGTCAGCCCTGGGCTCCCTTCTCTTCTGCTCAGATACTTCCACTTCAGAGCATGAGGCATTTTCCCCAGCCCACGATGCTCACTGTATATCATCAGTTTTTAGTCCCACTTTTTGCTTTAACCTGTTGGGTGAGTCCAGGGAAGCACCTCCTTTTCTCCAGCCCCTCTCAGTAGTCTTGTGGGAAGGAGACACTCCACAGAGCAGCAGAAGCAGAGATCTTTAGGCAGTTCAATATATAAGCTCCAGCCCTTGCAGGGAGCAATGTCTCCAGGGTTGGCAAAATCTTCTCCAGAATTTGGCAACAGCACGTTAATTACGTTAGCATTACAGATGCTAGTTATGGATGCAACAAGTCCTCCTGTACTTCATAATCTTATTACTCGTGATCTGCTCTGCCACATGCCAACACAGAAAGACTCACTGGCCCCACTGTTCCCACAGCCCCCCTGGCAGGTTCATTCATGCGCAGTCCAGCAAAACTCACGACAGCACCTCTTTAAAAAAGTATTGCCCAGCTCTCTCCTTTCTAAACCCAAACAGAGAGGCTTCAAGACCCTGGGGGGAGGCAGCATGAGAGCTGCAGCCTTCCCTCCCTGTTAGTTCATTTCTCTCTGACACATCACAAGTCTGACTCCTCTACCGTGTTTTATCTGCAGACTTTATCAGGAAATTACTTTTACAAGGTCTGTAAAAATAATGTCAGAGTACTCATTTATCACAGCATCAGCGTTCTATTTTGCTTCATTTTATCACAACGGATTTTGAAGGGACTGTAGGTTTCCAAAATGTTCTTTTAATGGACTTTGTTCCCTTCTAGAAATCCAGCAGGGGGGCATCCAGAGCAGAGACAGCGTGGTCCAGGGATGAGACCAGCCCAAGGGACCCAACCCCATCCACGCACGTAGCGGGACTGTGCACACATTTCCTCATCCATCAGAAAAGCCCTACTGCTGAGGAGCAGAGGACACCTCTTCCCAACCTCTCTCAATTGCCTGGAAATCCCCCAATTAAAAGGCAGACAGAGAAACGCAAAGTCTCTTAATATACGACAACAGAGACTGTGCCCACTTGAGAAGCGGTTATCACAAAGCCGATCTGCTCCTCTCTCCTCAAGTCCCGCACTCCAAGAACAAAGTCCTGGCTCTGCTGGAGAGCTGCAAAACCCCAGGTGCCAACATTTCACAGAGCGCCCTGCGAGATGATAGATTTGGCATTCGGCCTACTTTACATATCAGCTCCCTTTCCAATTATCGGTACTTAGGCCCAGTGCTCTTTCTTAATGAAAGAGTCAAGGCTGGCTAGCCTACAATACGGTGATGTATAAACAAGCCCAGGATGGCAAATAAAACCAACAAGTCATTATCCGTGAGCCTCTCAATGGCTTTAAAGTGCTCATGTATTGACACTATAAAAACGCAACTGTTCCAGCTGTTAACGGCCTCCTGGCATGTTCGGCTATGGGAAATAAAGGGCATAAAGACCCAAAACCTGTGGCTCCAGAAACACAGATTTTTCCCAGGCTTCACTGAAGGAGAACGTATTTGTGGCAAACTGCTTAGCCATCTTATTATAGCACATAGATACGTTCATGACTTTTTGAGTGAACAGAGAACCGAAATGCTTTTACCAATTAACACAGCAAGCGAGGCGGGGGGTGGGGGGAACCTAATCAACCACAAACCTCTGGCACGGCCTTGGGAGAGTCACCAAGATCCGTATCCCCAAAGAAATTTAGGCACCGCAGGCCAGTTCTTCTCCATGTCTATGGTTGGCCAACTGAATCTCATCCTCCAGGCTCCACGAATCCCACCTCGAGAGAGGGGTCTGCATCATGCGAGCAACAAGGATTGAGATGTTCCCTTCTGCTCCAGCCAGGGTTAGCTCACTTCATCCTCAGTGGGGAGAAACAGGCAGCTCCGGACAGCAACTCAACCCAAAGGCAACCCAGCATCCGTGTTAAAATGGGATTACTTGCTTTCTGGAACTGTATCTTTCTCTTCACTGGTGATACAGGTAGCATCAGAGGACTAGGTTTTGTAAGGCGTTTTAAGACACCTCAGCTCCAGATTCAGATGTTTAACTCCAGATGACCCTCAGCAGTCATCTCAGTCACACTAGAGGAGGCAGGCTCTTTCTCTTTCACGTCTATGGGAGAATCCAGGGTAATATTTATGTTCTTACCCAAGGTAACATAAGAGTGTCCTGCTTTCTCTAGGTGGGCTGAATCCAGTTTTTTCATCACAACTCCTCCATATCTACACATCCTCCCCTTCACACAGAGACAGTGCACTTTTCCTGTATCCTTTGCCTCCTCCTGGATGCCTAAAGACATCCATTAGATGAGGGCAACCATCTATGATCGCCCACCAGGTAAGTTCCTATCATCCAACTATTTCTGGTTCAGGGGTTTCCTTGAGACAAACATCGTTTCTAAGCAGTTAGTATACCACATCTTTCTTCCATAAGCATGTCCAGCTTCCCTCTGAAGCTGAAACAAGCAGAACCACTGCATATACTAGGGAAAAAACCCAAAACTTTGGCTGGCCTAACAAGCCCACAGCACAGGAAAGTTTCCATCTCTCTGTGTCCCACCTAACATGCAGAGCTTAAGAGCCCAGTTGAATCTACAAGCATCGTGGCAAGACCAATTGGACTACCCCACATTTCAAACACGTTTTCAGTGCAACACAGCCAGTTTGCACTTTTTATAGGACATTGCTGTCATTTTTCCCTACCACTGCTGACTTCTTGAAAGCCCATCTGCATTTCCATCTCAATTGCATGAGCATAATGTAGTTGCTTGCTAAGAGCTGCCCAGGTGGTCACTGATAACCTGCAAACCAACTGTCCCACCCTTGTTTATTATTTTCATGGTAAAAGTTGCAGAAGATGGTTGCAATGCACAAGGGGCTGTGCAAGACAGCTCATCCTCACCCTAAAAAGCTTACAAAGTCACCTCAAGGGCCACAGCTCATAGTTTAACTGGCACGGTCTCACATTGCTATGAGTCTTCTCCCCCCCCCCCAAACTCATTAGTGAACATGCCAAAGATTCAAATACCAGTCACAGCTTTCCAGTGGGTGGTGTCCAGGGAAACAGGAAAATCACTGAGTCACTGCAAGAAGTGAAGAAACTAAAGGCTGGGTGGCCAAATTTCTGAGGTGCTGAGCAAGAAGCAGTGAAAAGCAGACCAAAACCACAGCTTTGCAAAGGACTTCAGCACAGCACTGACCAATAAAGCACAAACAGCACCACTGGAGAGAAAAGTTGCAAAAGACACTGAAGGCAAAGCATGCAGAGTTTTAAAGTGATCACCCCAACACTGCTACCATCGCATTTGAGGAGTGTTGAATCAGTGATTCACCACCGGTGAGGGCACCAATTTCCATGGAAGTAGACTTAAGGCATCCATTTAGGAGGCCAACCTGCAAGCACAGACTCATCTGCTGTTTACATCTTAGGATCCTTTTGTCAAGAATAGCTCTTACAAAAACGCAAGCGAGTTCTGGAAAAGCACTCAAGCATGTAAGCACCAACACAAGTACTACAATGCAAAACCAAACACTTGTACAGATTAACTGACCGATAGCTCAGTGGTGCTCTCCACAAGTTCATCAGTTGACCTCTCCCATGCAAACACAGAGCAACGATGAAGTTACAAGTTATAGCTGAGCCAAATTAACAGTTCAATGCCACTGGGAGAGGTCTCATTCCTACCAGCATGTGCTCTGGCACACACTCTTCCTCCAGCCAGTTCAACTCACAAAGGTGGCAGAAAATTATTGACTTTTTTTTTTCCGCTGGATTACCTTTCTGCTGGGTTAGCGAGTTGATTGACTCGGCCCAGGGTGTGACAGGCAGCAGAGGTGGTGCAAGAGAAGAGATGGTATAAAGAGGTGTCTTCCATTTTGGCATCAGAAAGAAAGTAGATTGGGTCTAGCTATAATGTGCAACTTCACCGTAAGATACAGTCTCCTCCTATTTAAGCTAGAGATGGGAAGTTAAAGCACCTAATTCCAGAAGAAATCACCAGAAGCTAGCACTTATTTTTCTCTATCTACCATGACAATGCCCAAATTTAGTGCAGCGAATCCTCGCCTTTAGGTGCCCCTCCCAGAGCATTACAAAACATCCAGTCATACCATGAGCACAAGGACAACGTGTGAGCAGCTCTCCACTGGCTGGTCTAACGTTTGTGAAGCCCTCTAACCTGAAGCACTGAAAAATATTCTGGAGGAAATGAGGGTGAAGGGTCAAAACAAGGGAGAAATTCTGCAATTTCTGAATGTTCATTTCCTCTCTTTAACCACAAAACTCCAACAAAATAAAAAAAGGGTGGGGAAACAGAAAGAACACAATATGATGTCCTGGGAAAGGTTTTCCATTGCTTTTTGTTTAAATTTTGAATAGCTGCTACATACTGTAGAAGAGATCTAGAAGAAAAGCTCAAATTTCCCAACCCGTCAACCATGGGACACAGTCTAATCCATAAGACCCAAAAAAGGCCTTCAAGCTGTACAACCCTTCCCAACGCTCCCCTGGCAACAAGGCTGTCCCCACCCGTACCAGTGATCAGCTGGAGGGTTGTACCAGCGAAGACGACCCACGGGGTTGAAGGAGAGCTCACCTGAATCAAACTGCTCCATGTTGCCGTTGGCCGGGCTCTGACCCTTCTCTGGGGAGAGATGCTGGGTCTCTTGCATGGTGGCGATGAAAGACGCCCTTGTCTCCATGGTTCAGAGGAAGAGGCCTTGCCTTCCTAATTCATCCTGCAGCAGGGAGCACCTAGAGGACAAGCTAAAAGAAAAAAACAATGAGCGATTTGTTCTACCTACACCAACAACCATGTTGATTGTAACCCTTCAATCCTGCTCTCTCCTCCAAGGTGAAGCTAGGGTTGGATGAGGAACCACAACGAAGGGCATCTCCCCTTCGTGGCAATAATATGAAAGCAGCAGCAACAACAATAACAACATACAAGATAATGAGGTAATAAACTATATTCCCACTACTCAACACAAAGGATGCACATCTCAAAGTTCAGTCCAGCTCCCTGTATCACCAACAGAGAGGGTTGTGCCATAAGGTGGCACAACCCGTGCCAAAAAAAGGCACCCAAGAAAGGCCAACTCAACCGTCCTCCAACGAGTCCAGATCTTGGCATCCAACTTTTTGATGGCTAACACTGTGTGAGGTATATCTCACTCCATATATATTCAAACTTCCGAAGGCGTATATTTGTGATAATGAAACAGAGGAAATACTGAAGAGATAATACTTCAGAGAGACTGGAGTAACTCTAGAAAATAAAGTTCAGCATGCAAAATGCAGATACTCTAATGAAATAGTGCTGGCTGCAACTGTTTTTCAAATGAAGGCTGACCTAAGGTAACTGCACCAGTTAGTACCGTGCAGGGTAGCAAATATTCACTCAGCTGTAGATTGGGTTATGTTGGCAGAGTAGATTCTTCTAGAAGGAATGACCGTAGTAAATACAAAGTGGAATAAAAACACGCAGAGATGAAAAATGATATGAAAAAGGGAATACAGACTGACTAGATCTTGAATCAGACACCAGGCTAAATGAGAACTATATTTCTACCTACAGTAAGCCACCAGACAAGCAATACCCAGAGATACACCCTTAGGAGCAGATTAAAAAGAACTCCAAAGTGAGCTTTTCAGTAAAACTCTCTGAGATGGTGATGAATTACGAGGTGTCAAAGGAGGACTGAAAAAGAGAAACCAAGAGCTCGGGTTATGGGCACAGAGGGAACCAGCTATTCACACAAGATATGCTAAAGCAAAGACAGATAGTAGGGAAGGTGTGTGTCCAGAATATACGATGTGGAGGACTGGTCCCACTTATTAGTGGACGCATCCAAGACTTGCATGACAGAGAGGACTATGCTGGCAGCACTGATGCCAAATACCCTGTAAGAAGCGTGACTGAAAGTAGGAAAAAAGTTTACTGCCAGAGGCCAGGCAAAGCAGGAGGTAATAAGATTGTAAAAATATTATGGGATTTTTTTAACTTTTACTACTTAGGAAGCATATTCAGGAAGGCCAGACATGGTGGTTATAAAATAGAAAGAGGGAGAGTGCTCTGTCATAGATTTTTTCGCTCCCAGTTTTTAAGGCTGTTCCAATGAAAATTGCAAGGAAGAAAGGGACCTGCGTGAGCAGTTATAGGAGGAACTAAAAAAGATGAGGAGCATGTCAAGTGTAAGTGCATGTTTTGGGTTTGCGTGGTGGGGTTTCGGTAGTGGGGAAGGGGACTACAGGGGTAGCTCCTGTGAGAAGCTCCTAGAAGTGATCCATAGTGATATCCATTAACTGAACCACGGTGGGACTGTCTGCTGGAGCGATCACAACAGCATCGTGGCAACTGCAATCAAACCATGCTAAAACCATGAGTGTTTCAGAAAGCGTCACTGGTAGAAGTAAATTACCAAGACAGGTGATACAACCTCCAACTGAAGGTTGTTTGGGCAAAGTTAGACCCCCATCAGCAATTTGCACTCCCCACCCCAAAGAAACCTGCTAATGAAAGGATAAAAATATTTTCAAAAAAAGAGAATGTAAACCAATTCAGAGCAATATGCTTGTTGGTCTCCTTGCAAAGTGCTTAGTATACTTCGAGCACTCCATGAATAATAATGATCACTTCCCCACTGCGATGGCCACTACAGCACTTCATCTTTATTCTTTGTTGACATGAGACTTGCTAATGAATTAAGTGTATTATATACTATGAGTATTTTGAGTGCAGCTAACCTCAGAACACATGTATCACTCATCCCCAGTGTATATTACATTTCAATTAACCATGAAACTAGAAGCAATCAGTCTACTGAAAGTCAAAAAACACTTCTCCTTTGGTAGAGAATACATCTGTAAATATCATTAATAATAAATTGGTTAAGTATCAGGATTTTACATCAACCTTGTTAAACGTGAGAGGAGAGGAGGTGTCAGCTGAAGCTAAACCTTGGGTGGATTCAGCTGTTTTCATTTTTGCCTAGGACCAGACAATGATGGAAGGTAATCTGGGTCTATTAAAAAAAAAAAATAAAATTCAAAGGATGGAGAGAAACAGAGAGATCAATTTAAACACAACAAATCAATCACCTTAAACAGAACTCGGGGGTAACAATATAAATACCAAGAAGAAAGATAAGCCTCTTGGTAGTGTAGTTAAATCTTGTGACACTCCTATGATGCTGATAAGACAAAGTTATGAGCTGATAAAAAGCTGAAGGTATCCAGTCAGACGACAACAGTATTTGCTGTTTCTTATGCAGTCAAGCCCCAAATCTGCCACCAGACCCATGAGAAAAGCCCATTCCCCTGGGTGAGGGAACTTCCCATCAGAAATGGAAAATGGATGGGAAAACCAGCAGGAACCTGCAGGAGGTGTCTGCAACACGGCTGGGATCCATCCTTGGTGGCCACGTCTGGGGCTGGGTTTGAGCCCACTTCAATTAAAAAGGGGCAATGCAGAATCTCTTAGCCAGATTGAGCGATGTCATCAACATTTTTGTTTGTTTAACTCTATTTTAATGTATTTTTTGCTTAAGCTATGGCCAACTTGAAGTTTTTGAAACATCGTGTCAAGAACATCCACGTCCCAAGAAAACTGGATCTGTCAGACGCTGTAGCTTATCTTCTTATTTTGGGAATAACTAGTTTACCATCTATGGCAGGAGAGCATTTAAGTATTTTCCCAATACTATGTGACAACAAGACCAAACTCTTATGCAAACATACGCTTCAAGATAGCTCTGAGCTTTCGTGTTGATATAACTAACTAGCAAAGAAAGCTGACATAGGGTATTAATTTTTCACTTCTTATTAATTGCTGCTAATTAACACTTCAAACAGAGTCCCCAGCCATACTGTTAACAGTAGCTTGCTGACTGGCCTGCAATCATCAACATTAAACAAGCCGCACACACCGCTGTACTCCGATTTCCCTCTCGGTCTGAAGAAACCTGTGTCCACTGGAAACCAAATTAAGGACCACAAGCCACATTGCCAGCCTGTAAACCAGGGGAGGGGAAACAACAGCAAAAGAGGCTCAAGGTGACGCTACACTAGGCAGGAACACAAAGGAAAATATTATGAAATGCATTTGAAAGAGCAGGGAGGGGGGAAATTCCCTGGCTTCAGACCCCTTGTTCATTGTTTCTGCACAGTGGTGGTTCAAACCGACCCGATTCTTCCCCCATGCAGCTCCCATTCCCCTGGTATTTAATGTAGATTCCGACTCTTAATTCACAGGCAGAAAAAGCCAGCCAATACAAAAAAAGCATCTCTTCTGTTTCCTTCTTCCCACGGCTGTCAGTCTCAGCCGCACGATTATCTCAAACACGCTGCCTTGTCATCTGTATCAATATTGGCTCTTTGTATAAGTGCCGGCGTTGGCTTCTTCGCACCATTTTACATTTCTCATCTCCTGTCAACTCCACCCTGGTTCTCCTTCCTTTGGAGTAAGCCCCTGTAGGGAGATGTCCCCTAACCCCACACACAAATCCAGCAACCTAGGGCTCTCCCTTAGAGTAATTCCTGAAAAAAATTACTTTCTCCCTCCAATGTATGCTTGCTTAATTGGGATTGACATAAAAAAGGCAGGCTACTGGAACAGAGCATGCAAAAAAGATCCTACATCCTTGAAACCTCCTACCTGAATAGTGCATCAGTTGAGTCAACGTACCGCTGAGTCCTGAATGGCGAAGAAGTAGAAATCCCACTGCTTTCCCAGCGATATGGCCCCTGCCTCCAAAATTGGGTAACGTTCATTGACCCGACATGGTCCCACCTCCCAGTAAGAAGCCACTTGATGAGTACAGCAGGGCTGCAGTAAGGGCTTCCAGCATGACCCCATGTCCGTGGTGAAGCCCCCACCAGGGACATGGCGAGTGGGCGGGTGGGTCCGTGGGCAGCTCCAGGGCTCACTACATTTCCAGAGCTCGACCCCAGGTATTTTGGCATATAAGGAATCCCCATTTCTTTTTCCAGCCAAGTGGGAGGGAAGCTGAACATGGGGTGGCCCCAGCAGACTTCCCTGGTGAACGCATCTGCTGATTTCACCCAGTCCCCTCAAAGCCAGGTGCCACCACGTGCAGTTTCACGTAGCCTTTACCATCTTCAAGCCTTTTGCAGGACCGTGAGCAAAAAAGCCACTGCAAAGCGATCAAGGAAACCGTTTTGAAAAAATGAGACCAGATCCACCCGCCTGAACAATTAGGAAACTGCAGCAATTGGTGCTGAGGCTCTCAGGAAACAGGACAGGGCTGTGCTGAGACCTGCCCTGCCTCAACCCAATCCCAGAGCTGAGATGGTCACTCCAGTTGCCTCCTCTTCCATCCTACTTCCAGAACATCGTTTTTTTTTTATGTCCCCCACCTGGCCAAATGGCTTTACATCGGGTAAAATAGGGGCACCTAGGGTGGAGCAGATGGAGCAAAAGCCTAGGCGGGACACAGGTGATATCAGACCAGGTCCCAACTCCATCGTTGACTTCACCTTGGGGTTTTCCAGCACAAAAAATCCCCATGAAACAGCACTACAAGAAACAATGCCCACCAATCCTACCCACCTCAGGTGGGATTTGTCTTACCTAGTCAATCCATTGCAGCTAACTGAGAGAAAGCATCTCCAAAGGACAATTTGTGCGGTCCGACTCAGACACCCAAAATCTGGATGAGACGAACAACCCTCTGGGGGTGCC